CCCAGATATCTCACTTCCATAAAATAATTGACAAATACCCTTTCCATGACAGCTCCACAAGGAGTGATCCAGGTCCAGTATGTAGATAATGAGAATAATGTTACTCCAGACTTCATACCTGCTGAGTGCGCAGACGGTTTTCATGCTCACGGTCTTCAATTTCCTCCTGCATTGAACTAATGAGCAGAAACCGAAATATATGGTAAAAGAAATCTTGATCGGGTGTGACATACACATACTTGAAGTGCTAAAATATGTCGCTGTGATTGGGCCAGCTCTTCCTCCCTCTGAGCCTGCTGTCTTGCCAAAAGCCAAATTTGAAAGATAAGTTATTGAGTCATTTTGATATGCATACTTCCATAACCACACAAAGTCACAAGATTACAAAACCAAAATTATGTAGCAAAAGTTCGTGTACGTGATTTGACTGTACTCAAACAATGAAATGTTAAATTAGAAAATGTTTAGGGAGAAATAATGGTTTGTACCAGAATCTGCTGTTCTGCTGCAGAGGTGCTATTTGGAGCATCTTTTCTCTGCAGAGCTGATAATACACGTTTGAAGGAAAGACATGTAAGGAGTCCAATGTTGTGAAAATGGAAAATTGTTAATATTAAAGAAAAATAAGGATTTTCTTTCTAAACTGGAATAATATTAGTTAGGCAGCAGCATAAAAATAGAAATCATACCTGATCTCTCTGATCAGTCTGAAACATTTATTGCATTGTCAGCAAAGAATGATAAAATGGAAAACCTCTTTAAACAGCAAGTTATATGTAAAAGACGAATGCAAGGAAACAAACTGGGGGTCTCAGTTCCAGAGATCGTTGAAGATTCTTGTTCTCCTCTAGAAGTTTAGAAATTTCTTTGTCCTTCTCCTCCATCATTCTGTCAGCGAGATCACAGAATGAAGCATGCTCTTTCTACAAGTTTAGAAATCAGAAAACAAAAGCAAAAAAATTAAACAAAAGCAATAAATACAAGCCACCTTATTTACCTTTAGTTGTTTATACCGCAGTTTTAGCTCCTCCATTTCTTTTTGTGCATCTTCTCTAGAGGATGCTTCATTTTGAGCTTTCAGTGATTCACATCTGACCGACACATCATAATTCCAAGAATAACCTAACTCAAAGCTCAATGAACATTTTCTGCTGGAATGGAAAGGGGGACAAAATGAACAAAATAACTTGCAAAGCAAGGATATACTACGTTGCCACACTTCTTCCAAAATTTTAAGGTCCATTCCCCATGATTCTTTCTCTAACTGATGACACGTATTAGCAGAATTAAGCTTCATCTCTAGGCTCTTGATCTGCTGCTTGTTACTATCAAGTGCTTCATCTCTAACACAAATAGCAGGGCAGAATTTTAGAAATTAGGACATAAAAATATATAAAATATAATTATTACTTGGTAGAAGCCTCCTGTAATCCAACAACACTACTTTTTCAGCCTCAAGGATATTGGTTAAAGTTATACTTGTATGAAAATTCAG